AATGAGCCGAAAATAATAAGATTCGCTCGAGCGCAAAATTTCTACTAAGAAAGTTTCTCAGATGGTTGCAGTGTTTATGCGGAGAATACTCGAAGGGCGTGTTTTGTGGCGAGACTAGCCAATGGCCCCGAATACATTTGGACTACATTTTGCAATTAGGAACTAAATACAATTTCTGGCTCATTTCAGAAACAACATATGTGTAGTTACTTACTTTATATAGATGGGTGCTTTTATCGGCGAGTCAGAAATCGACACTGGAAAAAAACACATTGAATCCAGAGTCCAGATTCTTGAAAACATTGACAAGAAAAAATACTCTTAATTCAATCGGATTTTTGCTTGAATCAAAATGAAATCCGCTTAAATTAAGAGGCTTGGTTCTTGATTTAAGCTACAGATTCTGATTGAATCAAGAGTACTTTTTCTTGTCGATGTTACTATGAGTCTGGACTCTAGATCCAATGTGTTTTTTTTTTTTCAGTGGAGGTGCCTCGTTCCAAGATACTATCCAAACATTTTACCACCTCCCTCCACTCTCCAGAGTTACAGCCCCTCAATGGGTCAAGAGCCCGTGTTTTTCTAGATTGTGGCAACAGTTGTGAATGAAAATGCATAAAAATTGACAGTTCGGAGTTAGTCAACATGCTCAGCTCACTTTCGACCTGAAAAGCCGGAATCATATTGTAAAGGAGAGCTTTGAGAGAGAGGCAGTAATTCTGAAGGGGTGGACATGTTTAGGGAAAACGCTGCATAACAAAAAACTCTCTTTTTTATCTCAGATTCTTAAAATATGCGTGTTCAACTTTGAGACACCCTAAAAATCTCTCACAAAGCATGATATCATGTATGCAACTAATTTTACTTTTCGAAAATTGTTTCTTAGTTAAGTACGTTTTTTTTTAGCTCTGAAATACAGACTTGTGAACTTTGAGTACCTAGTAGGTAAACAAGTTTCCTAGATTATTGAAAATGTGTGTGCATTGCCGCACTGGAAAAAGAAAAAAAAAGAAAGAAAAAAAAGAAACACATTATGGATATAGAGTCCAGACTCTTAAAAACATCGACAAGAAAAAATACTCTTGATTCAATCAGATTTAAGCTTACCTAAATCAAGAACCAAGCCTCTTAATTTGAGCGGATTTCCTTTTAATTTAAGCTTAAATCTGATTGAATCAAGAGTCCTTTTTCTTGTCAATGTTTTCAAGAGTCTGGATTCTAGATCCAATGTTTTTTTTTTTTTCCTTCCAGTGCGCGTATATCTTGTTTTTGTGTGTTTCTGCGTCAAGATTTACCGGCAAATTCCCGAATACTTTCCCGGGCACGGGAAAATTCCCGTTTTAACCCCTACTGCGAATAGCGACGGCGAGCATTTCCCTGGGGTTTTGCGAGTTGCGTGCACGGGCCTACACGCATACGAGATAGCATTTCGGTGACACCTACGGATCCGGAAGGGAGATAATGTAGCGAGGTGTATTGATTAAAGAAAAAACGCAAGGACAGAAAAGAGTGGCAAAATTCAGGTAAACTTGAACCGTTGGTAGTTTCCTCATTCGAAAGGAGTTTTGGCGGAATTCCGACTGCAATTCTGTCATGCTCGCAAAAACACCATATGAACGGTCCAAACTCCCGAAATGTTCCTCCTGGCAGAAAAATTAAGCGCATTTTCCCTTGAATTTTCAGGAGTGTTCTCTACATAGGAAGATGTAATTGTGGACAAAATTATAGGAGAAATTTTAAAAAAAAGCTTTAAAGTTTTTTAGAGATCTCTTATTTCATCAGAGGAGAGGCAAGGCAACATCCGATGATTAGTGCGTTTTTTCCTCTTAGCACCGCAGAATTGCCAACCTGCAGTATTCAATCAACAAAATCAACTCCTCCCCAATGAACTTTCGTCTACCGTAGATTGATGCAATTATAAAAAAAAAAATAACTTTAAAAAAAACCGGGAAAATGAGGTACTTGATCTTTCAATAATAAAAACAAATGAGCAGGGTAAAAGGAAAGAGACGTGAGGAAAAACTGATGAAAATAAGGTAAATAATCTGATCTACAGTTTATGGTTGTTTTATGATGTTCCATACCTATTCAAAGCAACGGCATGCCTCTCAAAATCAGTTTCTGCAGTGAGCTGGAAGCTCGATGGATTAGATAGAGGAAAAATCAGGTCGATAGTACTTAGTTTGATTTCAGTTCGTCAATAGGATGACAAGTTTTCGGGTCTTTATTTTTTCCAAGCTCCGATCATTACTTTTCAAGGCCTTCTCGGCAGTAGAGATTTTTTCCTGATTTTTTTTTTTTTTTTTTAGAATTCTGAACTTAAAATGGGTTTGTTGATCTCCTGTCGTACAGTAATTGCAGCGCAGGATCTACGACCTAGAGGCCTCCTAGTCGAATCCTAGCTGGGCGATCAATGTTTGATGAATCAAACAACAACTGCCTAGGGCCGGTTGTTAAGACTTAGGAGGAGATTGCACGGGATTACGCCCTAGGACCCTAAGAGTAGGGTTAGGTACCCCCTGGTGGGAATATCTGAGGTATATCAAGTCAAACAAATGTAAACAAAAAAAAATTTAAAAAATAAAAAAAAAAACGAAAAATGTTCTACCGCCAAGATTCAACTTGTGTGAGGCTCCCCTACGAGTGTTCGACACATGACGCCTTAAAAAAATCGAAAAAATTTACATCCTCTACAGTCGACCGTTTCTGTGGTTGGTTAATACATTGCTTCCGAATGTTGGCAATCCTTTCCGCATTCTTCTTGCTGCGGCACACGACATACCGTTTCCGGATGGTCATGCTCCTAAGAATCTCTGTTCACGAACGTTAAGCTTTTAAAGCTATGGCTCGCTTTTTTTGAATTCATCGTCCATTTCGTATCTATCCATTGAATCATCCGGGCATGGGGATCAATAGCCCCTAAGATTAAAGACACGACAATTTTATAATGATCTTCGGCTACTCTTCCGTGCTAAGGAAGAACGCCGTATAAACCTTCAGGCGTTGCCAAATTTCCGCTGGTAATCACGAGTTTTTGGGAAAATTTGTAGATATTTTACTTGCAATTTTTCAGACAATTTTGTTCGCAATTTTACCTTAAGTTCTTGAAAATTGATCGGAAAAATATTCACAACTTTCCTCAAAAATATACATTTTATCGAAAGAAATTTGGCAACTCTCGAATGTTCATACGGCGTTCTTCCTTAGCACGGCAATACTGTCCGCGGCAATAGCCACGGCCGCAGCTTAAAGGGAATGCCTGCTTTCGTTGAGAAGATTTTCCCCCTTGAAAATTCAAGAATTGATGGACGAGTTGAGTAACTTTCGATTTTAAGAAAATGTAAGCTGGGTCAAATACATTTTCATAAATGGGGCAGGACGCTCCAAACCCTGCGATGGTTTGTTATTGAAAAAACTATCGCCCTTGCCCTTGAGCTGTCATCTCATTGTCAGTCGCTCACTTATCTGTCGTCCATCAAGATATGTGATTGCACCGGGAGAGAAGGCCTCAGAGGTAGAGACTTGAGTTCATGTTTAAATGCTAATCGCTAACTATATTCTTAAGAGAAACGGGTCAAAATTGGGTCCTTATCATTCCCTTGGGGTTATTTATCTAGCAATGATATGGGAATTTATTGCATTTCGAGAAAAACAGTTAACTTTATCAGAGGCGGCTATACCTTCATGCTAGGGGGTGCCACATTAATAGTCGTAAGGAGGGGGCTGTCTGGGCTCNGGGGGGGGGGGGGGTTCCTCTCTTTAGAAGTTGTTTTTTTTTCTCAAACATTTGATGCGAAAAATTAGTTTCATGATGATAGGCAGCGTGACTCCAGGGGTGCAAAGGTTGCTCGATCAAATGCTCTGCCTGAAATTTTGAAAAGACTTAAGAAAATGGAGGGAGAGACGATGTCAAGGGTCAAAAGTCGAACATCAAAGGAAACGAGAGGGGAAATGTCGTTATTTTGGAAATCGGAGGTGACTTTTGTGGGAAACCGGTGACAAAAATGAATGTAGCCGGCGGGGAGGGGCACACGAGAATGGAAGCTTGGAAGATTCTGCACTTCTGCTGTAATCTTCCTGAAAAATCTTTGGTGGATATTTTGTTTTCTAAGTTTACAACTTTGTATGAAACAAGTCGAGAACGGCAGTCTGCCACCTGAAATAGAACAGTTTAACTTTATCACCTGCCCCCTCTCTCGCCAATAACAACAAATGTAAATTTTATCCAATTTTTCCTGTTACATAGTTGACGGGTTTTTCTCGCACTCCCTCTAAATTCAGCCGTTGTCACGGCTGCGTTGTTCTCACTCAAGTTCAGCATGAAGAACACCCGGTACCCGTGAAGAACCGCCTTTGGACTTGCAAAACTACACAGCGACGCCGGCGAAACTACAGGAATGCGTATATCGTCGGTGAAACTACCAAACCACGTATCTCGGTTTGCGACGTCGCAGACTTCCTGTCATACTTTATTTTTTAAATGAGAATAACTACTTAACATCCAGTCTTGAAAATTTCTGTGATTTTTCCTCTTTGTGCGGAGAAAATTCGGTGAAAATTTCAAGGAATGATATTGATTTGGTCTACTTCAAAAAAATAAAATGTGAGCGTAGATTTTTAAACACCGCAAACGAGATACGTGGTTTGGTAGTTTCACCGTCGGTATGCGGTGTTTCAAACCCCCCTGTCCTTGAACAAACCTTATGAAACGAAAAAAATCTAATACTGTTGCTTGAATTTTTCATAGATAATAATTCACTCAGATGGTTAGGTACGTTTTGAAGTAATGACGTTGAGTACGTTTTCATACAAAAACATAAAGTAAGACAAGAATTACGCAACCGCAATTTCCACTAACCGAGATACGCATTTCTGCAATTTCACCATCGATATGAGGGCCTAATCTTGCACACGGCACGGCATTATCATAATCAGCGTCCCCGCATGCACCATCCACCGCTTTGATGATCAATCCAGCGACAAAGGCTTAAAAAACTTACAGCGTTGTGTCCACGGCGGGTCCGGGGAGGATATTCCAACGTGAGGGAGCAACTAAAATCCTTGGGGAAAGCACCAAAGCAAAGCACAGAGGCACCGCGGAGTCACACACCTGTAGATTCACACCGCACAGCACTGTCAATACATGTCACAGCACAACCGGGACAGATCAGAGCTCACTGATACCGCACTGGCCGGAGAGAATCCACGCGAAAATATTATCGAAGCACGAGAAATAAACACGGGACGAAACGCACACACGCAGTGTTTTTATTTCCGAGTGTGTGGAGACGAAAACCGGCTAGAGTCCGAGCCGAGGCTGGAATGTTTGCGGAATGAAAACACCGAAAACTGAGAGAGGAATTCGTGAAAAGAAAACTCGCGGGCCGGGGATCGGGAGACCGACGGACGGGGTTCCTGCGCGAGAACAGATCGTCAACTAAAGCTTCGGCGAGCGCGTCACGAGGTTTGGTCGGCGGTGTGGCTTCGTGTGGTAGCGCGGCGCACTGCTCGCGGGGTCAACCTGAACTGAGCCGGCCGCGCTAGCCGGCCCGCTTCGTGTCGCCTTCGTGTCGTCACACTCGCGGCTCGTCACACTCACACACACACTGCGCCGCACAGTGGCTCGAGGCAATACTGCCGTGCTAAGGAAGAATAGAGTTCCTTTATACTGAGAGTCGAGACAATTCGGCTCGTGGATGTCACAAACGGGAATAAAGATTACAGAAATTGAACGTTTTTCGTAATCTTTGATCGGCCCATTCTCAAACACAGATTAGTCCAGATCGCTAACATCCAATCTAGCCATGCTTCAGAAGCGTGAGTAATTTTTGCTACAGGTTAGGCAACTTTAGAAAATTGATGGCACTACCAGTAGTGAAAGAACTTGACCAGATCGAGAGAAATTTCCTATTGAATCTGATTATAAAGCTTGAAAAAAGTATAAATAGTAATGTGTAATAATGGTTTTTGATCAAATAAGATTTTATCAAGTACTGTTATGCTAAGTATTCTGTTCCAATATTCTTACAACAGTTGGTAGCAATTAACTGCTCTCATGGGGGCCTGGCGGGAATTCAAAACTAGGAACCAAAAGTCTCATTTTGGCAGGATTTTGCTTTAATTTTCGGTTTCTAAGGCTTTAAACTTCAAAAATATGATATATTATAATCTGCAAATTTTTTCAATAATGTTATCTACTCAGTATACTGATGAACTCTGATTTGTTTATTTCCACCGATAAAGCACAAAAACATAGCCCGATTATACGAATAAAGAAGGAGAATTAATTAAAATACGGGTAAACAAGGCTAAAAATTATTGAAACACTTAAAGGCAGGACGTTTCGAGCTGCTACCAGCTCATTTTCAGCTGCAAAAACAAGTAAAAAATTGAGTGGCGACCTGACCCCAGCCGTTATTATGAGTGGTTACGTGATAACGGCTGAGGTCAGGTCGCCACTCAATTTTTTACTTGTTTTTATGTGTTTTTGCAGCTGAAAATGAGCTGGAAGCAGCTCGAAACGTCTTACCTTTTAGTGTTTCAATAATTTTTAGCCTTGTTTACTCGTATTTTAATTAATTCTCCTTCTTTATTTATTTCCACCTTAATTATTTAATCTGGAAATATTGAACCACATAAATTCTACTGAGAAACTAATTCTTGAATTCTTCGGAACGTTTCATCCCACAAAAATCTGAAAAAGAAGTATTCTCCCGCCGAAAATCTGCTGAAAATAGCCAAAATTTCAGTTTTGGTTCCTAGTTTTAAATGCCCATGGATTTTCCCGCCAATGGCGCTCACAAAACTACTCACGCTCCTCCGCCGATGTTAGCGATCTGGACTAATCTGTGTTCTCAAATGCCTTTCTCCGTTCCTCCTCTCATTCCGTTTGTTCCTTGCCGAACCCGTAATTCCCCGGTCCATTCCAGATTATAATCTTTGCAATTGGTGAAAATGTAATCTTTATTCCCGTTTGTGACACTGTGGAGGCCTAAAATACGAGAACCAATCAGAAATGGATTCAAATTGTCTTGACTCTCAGAATAAAGGGACTCTAAGGAAGAACGCCGTATGAGCCCTTAGACGTAGCCAAGTTTCCTTCGACAAAAACCGAATTTACTAGGAAAATTGTGAATGTTTTTTTTCCAAAATTTTCAGACTGTTTTGAACGCATTTTAATCTAAAATATCTGAAAATTTCAAAGACAAATTTGCATGAACGTCGTCAAAAATACATGTTTTATCAAGGGAAATTTGGCATCTCTCGAATGTTCATACGGCGTTCTTCCTTAGCATGGTAGAATAGGAGAGGTCGGACACAATTTGGAAACTTTAAACGCTTATAACTCCGCTCATACAAGGAAAAATCTTGATATAGAAAATAAGTAATATAATAAGATTAAAGGAATTAATTTTATTAGAGGAGTATTTTTTTTTACATATTGAAAATGTGCAACAACAAAATAAGTATCATGCAAACAGACATCTGCAGAAGAATTACCAAGAATAATTCCAGTTAATCCACCTATGGTGAATAAAAATAAAAATCCTAAATTTCATCTGTAGAAAGTTAGTATCAGTAAAACTAATATTATAAACATGGATTTACTATAAATTTTGGGTTGATTAATTTTATGAAAAATGGTCTTAAAAGTGGCTCCATTAGTTTTCTAGTGAAATTTTCTTCCAATCGCACCCCTTAAAATTTAAAATGTGACGAATTAGACATCAAAATTAGTAGTTTTACTTAAAAGTGTCCTGTCCTATCTCTCTGATTGACTCGATCCTCTGTGCGCCGGTAGTAGACACCGCGTCGTGTGATGCGTCGCAGACACCGAGGCACAAGGGTCAAACTCGCCGCCACGCTGGACGCTCATCTACTGCGTTAATGATGAGAGCACCGTCTTGCTACGGAAAAACGCAGTATGAGCCCTCAGACGTTGTCAGATTCCTTCGGTAAAAATGATTTTAGGTACATGAAAGATTTTGAGTATTTTTGTTCCATTTTCAGGCAATTTATTTTGCTCTTGAATCAAAAATATGTGGAAATTTCAAAGAAAATATGTATACCTTTCCTACAAACGAAATATTTTCTCCGGGAAAATTTGGCAAATTTGAATGCTCATAGGTACGGTGTTCTTCATTGGCACGACAGAGACTGCTCAGTGCTGCAGGCGTTGTCTTCTTTCCCTCGATAAATAACGAATTTACTGGAAATTTTTTGAAAAGTTCTCTTCCGCTTTCAGGAAAGTATGCAATTCAATCTAATTTTTTTGGAATTTCACGGAAATATGTATATCATTCCTCAAAAAAAAATATTTTGTCCGAAAAAATTTGGCTAACTTTGAATGCTCAAACGGTGTTCTTTATTTGTAAGGCAGAGCAGCAAGTGCAAGAATTTAGTTTTGAGGAAATGGATCCAGTGCAGTGATGTACGATGAAACAATTAACTAAAAATTATTTAACTTGCCATGGCATTGCAGCGAGTTTATTTTTAATGAGAAAATGAATTTGAAAAACATACATTTAGACTCGACTTAAAACTGTAAATCATTCCCCTAAACCTGCCGTTACCGATTCCGTTCGTTGCATTACATGGCATACCAAGTGAGTCCATAGCTGAAGTTTTAAAGAATTCATTCATTTTTCTTCAAATTTTTGGTGTGGTTTTCATCAGGGGCTGCGTATGTAACCCGCAACACATATCTGAGAATTCGTTAAGAAACTTTAAAATTTGACCCATATTTTTCCATATTTCGTTCCTTTCGATTTTTCTGACGGAAAAATCGACTGTTCGATGGAAGCGGTTAAAAATCCGCATCCCTTTATTGTCCGCTATTTGAAAAGCGCTTACCCGTGTGCGACGGACAAGTTGGCCTCTGGCTCCTCGCACTTGTCCGCCAACGGCGCGGCGCACACTGAAATGAGCCTTTCCATTAGCGAGAGGTCGAACATGATTTTTTTAACTAAAATTACAAATTTTTATATTTATTTTTTCAAATTCGAAATTTCAAGGAGTGCTTTGTCAGGGAAATTTTACGAGAAGACGAATGAAAACACTTTTACACTTCTAAGTTTAGTTTTGACCCTCGAGGACGTTTCGCGCCCTGGGGGGAGGTTGGACCTCGTAGCAGCCAGAAAGCATACCCCCTAGTTGGTAAAAAACTTGATATCTTAAGAGAGTTTGCGCGCACTCTTTCCATAAAAATGCACGTATCATCCTCATTTCTTCGACATTTTTGTCACACTATCATCAATAATACTTCAAATTTTACCTGACTATATTCAACTGAGTCTCACACTGAAAAAAAATTATCGGCGTTTTTACCAAGGTCCGTTGGTACCTTTACCATCTCACTTTTTTTATTGGTAATTTTACCAAGACAGACTGGTAAGCTTACCTAAAAACCGGTATTTTTACTATTTTTTCAGGTAAGAATACCACTTTTATTGGTAATCAATTCCCGGTAACTTTGCCATTTTATCTCGGTAATTCTACCACAGTCGATAAAAAATATTGGCGTTTTTACCGGGGTCTAGTAAAATTACCGAGAAAGTCAATAATTTTACCGAGATTCCTCGGTAAAATTACCAATTCCATAAATGGTAATTTTACCAAGAAAAAATTGCGATCAAATAGAACCCTGAATTCTTGGTAATTTTACCCTTTTCTTAGTAAATACACCGAGATTTTTTTTTCAGTAAAGCGTCACAAATTATTATATTGAGATGGGGGCGGGGATCCGGGATTGTGTCATTACGAGGCATTTCAAGGGAAAGGGGGTGGGGTCAGAAATGCCGAAAAAGTGATTTACGTAATAAGCTTTTGATGTTGTCACTTAATTTTCCACCTTTTCGATTGACTGGTACCATCGTGCGGCGGAGACTGGAACAAGCCATGAGTGCAAAACCTGGTCAGCGCCGTAAGGTCTTGCGCAGATTCTACATGGTATTACTCACTGCCAAAGAACCTGCGTTCTCTACTTGCACTTTTTAATTGGACATTTTCATCTTCTTTTCGTGGCATGAATTGGGTGACGATCAAAGTTTTCCGGGAAAATCAAGATCCGAGAACGGGAACGTTTCTGAGAACATTCCTGCTGGCTTCAAAAGTGTGCGTAATTACCGTGTATATTAGGGTGTGTGTGTTTCTTCGTCAAAGTCTTTCAAAAAAGTAAATTTAAGTCGAGCACTCTCTAGAGCTTTCCCTGGAAAGTTCTCATTCCTCAGAATCATCAGCTATTGCCAAATTTTACTGGGCACTTTAATGTTGTATAAGAGTTTGTGCTGCTCTCTTTGAAAGTTTAAGGAGTTTGTTTCGTGCTGTACAGTAAATTCATTGATATTTTCATAAAAATTCGCACGTGTACAAAATTAATTGCCCAATTACATTTAGCAATAGCTGATGTTACTTGGTTCTTTCCTGCTATAGTGCTATCGCGGCCCCATTAATTAAGTTGTTAACTAAGGCGCAACAGATAACTATTCGTGCTCTCCGGAGCGTTTATTGCCTATGCGGCGAAATTGAAGGCGAACTGG